TAGACCTAAACTTTTTCTCACCTTCCCTTTTTTTAATGTCCTGCTTCAAAAAGCCTTTAAAAAGTAATAATGGTAAAAATATACAGAACAAAGCATTTGTCAAACATAGATTTGTTTTCATGTGCAATTCAGTGGTAATGCTTTCCTTTGCCGAGTTGTGGAAGCATCACCACTACTCCTATCTTACTTCAGTCAGCGTAATGTTTTCAAGTCTCATTCATGCCCTAGCATGAATGACACTTTGTGGCTGAGTAATATTCCATTGTATGAATATGCCACATTTTGTTTGGACATTTAGGTTTTTTCTACCTTTCTGACTTCAGTGAAAAAGAGTTGGAATGAATAGTGGTGTACAGTTTCTGCTTGCATTGCTGCTTTCAGTTCTTTTGGGTACATAGCTAGGATTGGAATTGCTGGGTCACATGGTAGTTCTAAGTTCAACTTTTTGAGGCGCTGATAGACTGCGTTCCACAGCAGTTGTGTCATTTCCCATTCCTACCAGCTGTGGATAATGATTCTGGTTTCTCCACAACCTGACAAATCAATGTCATTCTAATGAAGGTGAGTTGGTATCTAATTTTGGTTTTGATTAGCATCTTCCTAATGGAGTCCTATCGTAGTGGTTACGAATCGGGCTGCAAACCACAAGGTCAGCAGATCAAAATTACCAGCTGGTCCACGGGAGAAAGATGAGGCTTTCTGCACCCGTAAAGATTTACATGGAGTCCTTTGTTACTGTTAAGTGCTGTCAAGTCGATTCCCATAGCAACCCTATACAGGGTTTCCAAGAAGCAGCTGGTGAGCTTGAACGGCCAACCTTGCAGTTCAAATGGCTTTGCAGCCTGGCGCATTAACCCACAGCGCCACACCAGGACTCCAGTGGAGCCCTTGTTTTTGTTTTTGTTGTTGTTGTTGTTATGTGCCGTGGAGTCGGTTCCGACTCATAGCGACCCTGAACAGGGTTTCCAAGGCAGTAAATCTGTACAGGAGCAGAAAGCCTCATCTTTCTCCCGTGGAACAGCTGGTAGTTTAGAACTGCTGAGCCTGAGGTTAGCAGCCCAATTTGTAACCACCACTCTACCAGAGCTCCTTATAATGGAGTGCCTTAGGAATATGCAGATCAAAACCAAAACTAGATACCAACTCACCTTCATTAGAAAGGCCTTGAGTTTTTGGTTTTGTTTTTTTTTTTTAAAGAAACCAACAGGTGCTGGTCAGATTGTGGAGTAATCAGTCTTCATTGCTGGTGGGAATGGGAAATGGCACAACTGCTGTGGAGTCCCGTGTGGCGCTGTGGGTTAATGCGCTGGACTGCAAAGTCGGCTTGAACACAAGGTCGGCAATTCAGGCTCACCACCCGCTCCTTGGAAGCCCTGTTTATACAGGGTCACTATGGGTCAGAGCCAACTTGACGATATTTAACAACAACAATGAAGTCCTGGTGTGGTGCTGGATTATTAACCATAGGTTGATAATTAAACCCACCAGCCACTCCTAGGAAGCCCTAGGGTGGCTATGAGTCCAAACGAACTTGGTAGCACTTAGCAACAATGGCTAATGATACTGAGTATCTTGTCATGTGGTTTTTGACCACTTGGATGGCTTCTGTGGTAAAATATTGTCCTTTTCTTTTTTGATTAGAGAAGCTTTTTTAAATTTATGCTGGGTATTGGAGTCCTGGTGTGGCGCTGTGGGTTAATGCGCCAGCCTACTAAGCCATTTGAACTGCAAGGTTGGCAATTCAAGCTCACCAGCTGCTCCTCGGAAACCCTGTACAGGGTCGCTATGGGTCGGAACCGACTCAACAGCACTTAACAACATTAGACCCTTATCAAAATATAGTTCCTGAAATTTTTATACCAATCTGTAAGTTATCTTTTCACTTTTCTTATAAAGAAGTCCTTTGGTGAACAAAAGTATTTTGTATGAAATTTCATTTATCTTTGTCTTTTAAACAGTTTTTTGTTGACAGTGTACACAGCAAAGCATACACCAATTCTACACTGACATCGATCACGTTCAGGTTGTGGATCCATCCCCACCCTTCTGTTTTGGCTTTTACCCTCCATTTAATTAGCTTTTCTTTCTTTTAGTAATATTTTCGTTTTCATTGTACAAGTTTTTTACCTCCCTTATTTATTCCTAGGTATTTTATTCTTTGAGATGCTCTTGGAGATGGAATTGTTTCCTTTTTTTCTCAGAGTGCTCACTGCTGATGTGTAGACATCCAACAGATAATGTGTCCTGACCTTGTACCCAGCCACTTGGCAGAACTCATTTATCAGTCTGTTGTCAAGTGCTGTTGTGTCAGTTCCATCTCGTCCTCGTTGTTTTAAGTGCCATAGTCTGTTCTGATTCATAGTGACCCTATATCCAGTTTCCAAAAAGCACCTACTTTGCAGTTGGCAGTTCAGTTCTTGTCGAACGGCACCACACTCGCACTCCTTATTAGCCCCTTGTTGTTAAGTGCCATTGAGTCAGTTTCGACCCATAGAGACCCTGTATAGGGTTTCCAAATGAGCTCTGGTAGCATAGTGGTTACGAATCGGGCTGCTAACCTCAAGGTCGGCAGTTCGAAACTACCAGCGGTTCTGCAGGAGAAAGATGAGGCGGTCTGCTCTCATAAAGATTTACAGCCTTGGAAACCCTGTGTAGGGTCACTATGAGTCAGAACCGACTCCGCGGCACTTAACAACAAAAATAGGGTTTCCAAGGAAAGGTTACTGGACTTGAACGTGTCTGTGGTGGTTGTGTGCCGTGAGGTTGGCTCTGACTCATGGTGAACCCTGTATAGTGTTTCAGTGGCTGTAAATCTTTACAGGAGCAGAAAGCCCCATCTTTATTCCTCAGATCAGTTGGTGGGCTCTGGCTAGGACTTCCTATTTAATGTTGAATAGCTGGCATCCTCATCTTGTTCCTGATCTTAATGGGAAAGCTCTCGGTCTTTCAGACTTCATTGACTCATGAGTATGATTTAGCTGTGGAGTTTTCATAAATGCCCTTTACTTTTTGAGTAATTTTTCTTCTATTCCTAGCTCAGTGAGTATTTTTATCATGAATGTTGTTAAGTGCTGATGAGTCAATTCCAACTCATAGTAACCCTGCATAGAGTTCCCAAGGAGCGATTGGTGGGTTTGAACTGGTCACCTTTCAGTTAGCAGTCCAGTGCTTATCCTACAGTGCCATGCCAGGACTCCAAGGGTGTTGGACTTTGTCAAATGTTTTCTCTCTGTCATGTGTGGTGTTGTAGGATTAAGCATGGGACTGCTAGCCACAAGGTCAGCAGTTTAGACTCATCAGCAACTCCTCAGAAGCCCTATACAGGAACTGACCAGCATGGTTCTTTTCCTTTGTTCTATTAATCTGATGTATTACATTCATTGATTTTTCAAATGTTGAACTATCCTTGCATTTCTGTGGTACATCCGACTTGATCATGTCTGTCATCCCTTTAATATGCTTTGGCATTTGTTTTGGTAGTATTTTGCTGAGAACTTTTGCATTTCTATTCGTAAGGGATATTGTTCTATAGTTTGTGGTGCCTTTGACTTCTCTCCTCACAGAATGAGTTACAAAGTGTTCCTTTCTTCTTTTTTTTAATATTTAAGGAGGAGGAGATTTCAAAGAAATTAGTAGAAAAATTCCATTTTTCCATGAACTTTTCGAAGCCTCCTCCTAGAAGTGGCTCTAATCCTTAAATGTTTCCCAGAAAACGGAAGCAGAAGGAACACTTCGTAACTCATTCTGTGAACTAGTATTGCTCCGACACCAAAGTCAGATAAAGACGTCTCTTGAACAAAGACTAACTTCATCTTCTGAAGACCTGTTGGCTTCTTTAACTTGATTCCTTTCACCATTGTCAGTGGTTCTAATTATTTATGAGAGTCATTCAAATTAATGGAACCAGGAGAAGAAAAGTCATTTTCTGGCAGTAGATCTTGTACTTATCCATTTCATGATTGCCAAATGTAACTTTACCTGTTTTGCCACACACCTCTCAGCCTTTCTTCTGCCCAAATTCCTAAATTTTCTTTACCTTATTCTTAGGTATTTTCATGAATTATTTAACTTAACTGAAGCAATGTATTTCTTGTAGACTTTTCTTCCAGGAATCTGTCATTGCTTGTTAGCTTGATCAATACTATGTTGATGGATGATGTAGTTAGATAACTTTCTGCCTGTTAATTTGTATACTGAACTCTTCTCTCCAAAATCATGTCTTAGAAGTTGGTAGGTAATAAATACACGGTATGAACACACCAAGAGTACCTTTTTATGGGTTCTGATACGAGGGGGATTCAAAAAGTTTGTGGGAAAAATCTGATTTTTCCATGAACTTTTTGAAGCCCCCTCTTAAGCTTTAAGTCTCCATGAAGGTAGTTTACATTTCAGTGTGTGAAAAGGTGTCCGAAAATTGCATAATCTAGAATGTGATTAAAACACCTCTGGCTACTAGTTACATGTGTTTTCTCACCTGGACCTTAGCCATCCATAGAATACTTTTGCTGTGAACAGGTGTTTTTAATTGTAAGACAAAAAAGGAATAGCTTGTCTAGCTTTTTATCCCCATTACCCACCCACTCCATCGTAGGCACGCACACCCCATCTGTGACAGTCACCATTGAGAAGGTATATTCTCTCCCTGGCTTCTTGAGAAGCTGACCCAGGATTCAGGCTGTTCTAGTCTCCTCTGTCCAGCCACTAATTTGTGTTCTCAGCTCGACTGTGTTTGAAAACAAGGTGACTAAGTGGATCAGTTTGGTTTTTGTCCTCTTTCTCCTTCTGCTGTTGGCCTTAAAATGGAAGCACAGTGATATTTCATTGGCCAAAGCAGGGATTATTTTGGAAAACAACGAATATAACAACATACTGAGCCTGAATACATTAGGGCTTACTAACATTCCATGGCTACATCTTCATAACTGATGAATTATAATGACTTTCAGAAATAAATAGCTGACATTTGGAAGGTACTCATTTATCTGTTTTGTGTATTCAAGGCTAGCAGAGTGCTGGTGGCATCCCGTAACTTTGCCAATGATGCTACATTTGAAATTAAGGTAAGAAGTGTTTTTCTTAATTTCTACATAGAGTATGCTTTTGATTTTTATGCTTTCTCACCATCTTCTGAACATCCCAGAATCACAGGTTTACAGGGAAGTTTAGCAAAAATGAAAATGCACTATTCTTATGTAGAGGCTCATGTGGTACTTACTCCAGAGTTTTGAGCAGGAAACGTTTGAGTAAGGAAATTCTCAAGACTTTTTTTGAAAGTATATATTTCAACCTATAGCTCGGCTGATGCCAGGGGTTTTCAGTGAAAGTCCATTCCCCATAAGAAAGCTCACTGCATTGCAATGAGGTTTCTTAATGTAAGGAATCGGCAACATGGAAATATTTCAAATGTGTTCCTTTGCCGGTTTTTGTTTTGAGTTACCTATTTGCAATTGATCTAGACTTTGGAACGAGTTGGCAGTGTTTACAGTGTAATAAATTAAGAGATGTCTCTCCATTTCAGAAATGTGATCTTCATCGGTTGGAAGAAGGTCCTCCTGTCACAACTGTGCTCACCAGAGAGGATGGGCTCCGATACTATAGGATGATGCAGACCGTCCGCCGAATGGAACTGAAGGCAGACCAACTGTATAAACAGAAGATCATCCGGGGCTTCTGCCATTTGTGTGATGGCCAGGTGGGTAGAGGTTGGACTTGCTTTCTTACCCTGCCTTTATACGTCAAGGATTTGAGGCTGGTATTTTAGTTTAGAATAAATATCCAAATGCTAAGGCCTGCTGTGAAGCTTAGCTTAAGAATTTTGTCACATATTGTACTTAGGTTTTTACTATTTTCTTCTTAGAATTTTATGAGTTAAAAACTTTATGTGTTATATATACACTTTGGGGAGAGAAGGTGGGATTTTTTTGGCTTTAGGGCCAAGGGTTATAAATTCAAATGTCTTCAGGGGTCAAACAGGTAGAAAATGTGTGAAGGAGCCAAAGTCTTTAAGAAACTGCATGCTGTACTGGCACAGGTAGCCCCCCACCCCCATCCAGAGGGCACCTTGGTGCCATATGGCAATGAAGGGCTAAAGTCTCTCTCATTTCTTCATTTCTTTGACACTTAATTGTGTGGAAATCCAAATCAAAATACTATCAATTCCATTATGTCCCACTATTCTGACATCAGCCACCTGCTCACAGGGCACAGTCCTGAGTTTGACCAAGAGCTCAGACATCAGCCATGAAACCACCAGGGGCCCCACCCCCACTTCCGACCTGCTGGCTTTCATTGACTCCCTTAAATTGACAATTCACTAGAGTGACTCACAGAATTAATGGAATGTGCTGTACTAACATAACAAAAAGGAGACAACTAAAGAGATACGTGGAACAAAGCTTGGGGAGAGTTGGCACTTTCATGTCCCAAAAGGGGACACGCTATCCTCTTACATCCTTTGATGCCCCTCACCAACCAGGAAGCCCATGGAGCTTTGGTGTCCAGAGGCCCCCGACTGCAGGTTTCATGTAATTCAAACGTCAGCCCCTGTCCTAAGGCTGGTCAGTATTACATGGTTGGGTCTTTCTGGCATAGACAGCTCCTGTCCAACATGAGTCTTAAGCCCTCAGGCTCGGCCTCATCAAAGACACTTCAGTCACTGGAAAGTTCAAGTGTTTAGGGATTACCTTTCTGGAACCAAGGACAAGACTCACTTGTGTCTTTCTAATCATTGTGCAAGCTAAAGAAAACACATGTAAACACATGTAGAAAAACATGTGTTGCCCATGTATGGCTTACCCTCCTCACTATGTGTGTAACAAAGTATATTAATTTCATTTCTGTGCATTGATTTTTTTTTATTAACGATGTTTTCTTTTAGTCCAAGTTTCAAAAGTCTACCTTCAGAAAAAGTCTAGGCGATCTCTTTATGTGTGTCACACTGACTTCCTGTTTCTTCTTCCGGTTGTGCAGGAAGCATGCTGTGTGGGGCTCGAGGCCGGTATAAATCCTACGGATCATCTCATCACAGCCTATCGGGCTCATGGTTTTACCTTTACTCGTGGCCTTACTGTCAGAGAAATTCTCGCAGAGCTAACAGGTTTGCTTGCGATTTGCAAAATGGTTAAATAAATGAGCTAAGCTTTCAAATATCACCTGTTAAGATGCTGTTATGCCACCATGAAAACTACTCCCTTTTGAGTAAATTGACCATCTTTAGGTCATCTGGCTCCTCAGGTAACTGTTTAAAAAATGCTGGCCATATAAAACCAGCAGTGTTTTGTCACGCAAGCTAGCTGTTACAGAAAGTAAATTTGGGTAGAAGTACTCCATGGAGTGCAATTTCAGTTCTAGAAATCTTATATCCCCCCCCCCCCCTTTTCCTTGTCCCCCTGGAATCTTGAACTATATATAGTATACCAATGTAGCAGAAATTGGAAGATGAGGTAATTGACAAAAAATTCAGGGTACCATGTTAACACCTGAGGAGATTGTTGAGGTCAAGGACATGGGGTTAGCCTGACCTTCAGTGCAAAACAACAGGAATAGAAGAAAGGGGTCCTGGTGTGGCGCTATAGAATACGAACTGAATTACCAACCACAAAGTTTGCAGTTGAAAGTCACCAGCAGGTCCTTGGAATTCCTATACAGGGGTGCCCATGTGAGTCGCAGCCAACTCTGCAGCATTTGCATAGAGACAAAGCTTAGGAAATTGAATTGGCCTAGGAGTTCTAATGGCTGTGCTTTCTCAGCTGGGGCATGGTGGTTTTGTTTGTGTGGTGTGGTTTTTTTGATGTATATATGTGTTTTCTGCCACTTCTAGGACGAAGAGGAGGTTGTGCTAAAGGAAAAGGAGGATCAATGCACATGTACGCCAAGAACTTCTATGGGGGCAATGGCATTGTTGGTGCTCAGGTATTCATTTTACAGCCCTGATAAGGACAAGGATGAGCTGGGTCTGGCCTTCCTAGATTAGCCCCCAGGTCTTCCAAAACTGTCCTTTCCCACCAGCTTATCTCTTAATGACTTTGCATTCCCTCTGTGTCGTCTAGCACACTGTTTTTAGACAATGGTGGCCCTGAGGCCAAACTCAAAGAGGCAGGTGATAGTGATCTCAGGGCCAACTTCTGTGGTTTTGTATCCTCCTCATTCCATTGTGATGAGTGGATAGTAAAGAATGTAGTAAATTTATCTAAATTGCTTGGTTTACTTTTTTTACAAGGGTTTTTTGTTTTGTTTTTCCCTTAAGACAAAATCTAGATGTTATTTTGGGACTACTCAGGATTAGGAGTTGAGTTTTTATTGCAGAAATGTTACTGCTTATTAACTGAAATTGAATACAATTATTTTATACCTGTTAGTTCTGGGTTTAAGATTGGCTGGGCGGGAAGAGTTGGCAACAGCTGTGTCGTTCTTCGGATTACGGCCAGAAATTAAAGCAGAGCATTGATCTCGCGCCTCAGAATGTTTTACTTTTTCTTCTTGTCCTTGGTGTTAGGTGCCCTTGGGTGCTGGAATTGCTCTGGCCTGCAAGTACAATGGAAAAGATGAGGTCTGCTTGACTCTGTATGGTGATGGTGCTGCTAACCAGGTACTTAAATGTTCTGTAACTAAGTACAGTTTTACCTATATATTCTTGCTGGAGTATATTACTTACTAGTTGAATTAGAAATCCACATGGCAAACTAGAGTTTTAACCATAATGTCAGAGATTTAGCTGGCCCGGTTTTCTATCACAAGTGCTTCAGGTCACATTGCTGTGAGGGAGGGAGTGCTCCCCAAGCTACCATTACAAGTGTGGTGCCTTGGGCTAAGGAGCTGGACTGAAAGGTCACTTTGAACCACAAGGTCCACAGCTTAGCTCAGCAGCCACTCCTCGGAAACCCTATACAGGGTCCCTCTGAGGACTTGACTCCGCCTCACAACAACTCATTACAAGCCAGTACTCAGACCACCATAGACTCGTCTTCAACACTGTGGCAATAGTTATGAATCACTGATAGTTTTAATGGTTTCTAAATACTGACTTGTACTTCCAACACTTGTCATGGTCTCAGCTCCCATCCATGGACTGTTCTAGAGACACTAGGTGTGCCATGTGAGTCTGCTAGAATTCTTAATATAACATAAAACTAGATCTTTCATGTTTATACCCATGTTTCTTGTATTCTCTACACACACAGCCCTGTAGATTAAAGAAAATGATGCTTTTCCCCACGGCCCTCAACTCACACATACCTTTCTCTCACTACTGCAAGTTTTGTTTAAAGACAAGGCCTTCACCCTTTAAGAAAGCTTTATAATGAAGTCTAGATTAGAAAAACATGTGAACTCTTTCTGACTACTTCCAGGGTCAGATATTTGAAGCGTACAATATGGCAGCTTTGTGGAAATTACCGTGTATTTTCATATGCGAGAATAACCGCTATGGCATGGGAACATCTGTCGAGAGAGCAGCAGCCAGCACCGACTACTACAAGAGGGGCGATTTCATTCCTGGGTTGAGGGTAAGGACACCCCACTCCAAAGCCTCTGTGTACACCTTTGACAAATGTAGACAGACAGACGTCAGGGCATGTACAGTTGAAGTGTTCTGGGGTCCTTTGATGTCTGCTCATTGCACGTTTATTAACAGGTAGATGGAATGGATATCCTGTGTGTCCGTGAGGCTACAAAGTTTGCAGCTGCCTATTGCAGATCAGGGAAGGTAAGACTTTCAGAGAACTTTCTCTGAGGCCACAGTGTGCAAGTACGCTCTGCCATTAGACCCCATGATGGGTAGATCTTTGTTGGCATTTTAGCTGCACATCATGAAACTATCTTGTGTATATGTTCTCCATTGTAAGCCCGAGTGAACAGATAAGGTAGACCCGGCGCTTTCTATAGTGTTTTGAAATTAAAAATCGGTATTTAAGCTTGTCCTTTAATTGCCTGTGTAAATGTTTTCCCTAAGTCAGTAATAGATCAGACAGTACTTAACTACATCAGAACATCAAGAGCCTGGGGGAATTGATATCATCACCCCTTCTCCCAGTTCCTTCCAGGAGATGTGGGATCCTAGCCAGGGATTTATAGAAGAAGGTACGTGCTTACATGGCTGTTAGAATAGGGGCTCATTAGTGAAGGATTCGAGAACTCCAGAGCCCCTTTTTACTGCACTAACCAAATATCCCAGGAGCCAAACTCCATCCCTTCCCCGGCATCTTCTGGAAGTAGGCTAGTGGACTATGAGCCAGGCTGGCCCAGCTCCCCCTTGTTGTCTGTAAACTTTCTGCTACCCACTAGTTAGTAGCAAGATTGGTGGCCAGCCCCTACGAAATGCCTTGTTTAATGGAGGGTGGCAGTTTAAGTTTCTATTGTCTTGTTTAGCTCTTTGACCTATTGTCATCAACCTTCTTTCCAGATCGTTCACTGGCCCTGAAGACAAAAGCCACCCCTCCTCCTGTTTTGTAGTTTCATTAGATCAAATCTAGTATCAAAATCTAGTAATCAGCTTTAGGTTACTTAGTTTTCTATTGTTACAAGTCAGCATTAGAAATGAGAGGCAAGAGCCAATAAACGAGTCTTGGCAAAGTCCACTGATTTAAATTTGATGCAAAAAAGGGTCTACATTTGAGGTCACGATGTGGTGACCCGTCAAGTCCCATTGTTTCTGCCACAGGGTCCCATACTGATGGAGCTGCAGACTTACCGTTACCATGGACACAGTATGAGTGACCCTGGAGTCAGGTATGCTGATGGGATGGTGGTTCCCAAAAGGGTTCGGGCATGACACCATGGTGGTATTACTCAACTGTAAAACTTTTACAGACCCACACTGCTGGGGATGGGCTTGAGAAAGGAAAGGCACCTTTAGTTAGTTCCTGCTTGGTATTCTAATGTTTCATAGTCCATGAAGGGGCTTCAAACAGCTATAATACAAAAATGGAATTTTTCCCATGAACTTTTTGAAGCTCCCTTGTATAATATATTCATACAAAAAAACAATACTTTATACCTGTAAAGTAAAATTTAGGATGCCAAAAGAGTGGGCCATTTGCCATATAACATCTGCTAGAGTCCAGTTTCCCCTGGAGGATAAAGAGCAGGTCTTACAGATTGTAGCCTAACTTAAGTCTAGTTCTCATGGTAACAGAGGTGTTAACATGCACCTTCATGTGTTTTCCTATAATGCTGTTTCCCTCTCTGTAGTTACCGTACACGAGAAGAAATTCAGGAAGTAAGAAGTAAGAGCGATCCTATTATGCTTCTCAAAGATAGAATGGTGAACAATGACCTCGCCAGTGTGGAAGAGCTAAAGGTACGCTGCGCTTTCGAAGTCGGGCTTTGATAGCTAGCTAGAGTTGTATGTAAGTTTGTCTAAGCCTTGATTGTTTGAACTCTGGAACTACCCCTGGACTAGCAACACTTCTGTGTTGTCACAATTCCCTTTGCATTTTTTAAAAATGTTGACTTCAGTATTGCACTATGATTTACTGTTTCTATTACTAGAACAGCTTTCAACATGTAATTCTGGTTGCGACCTAAGCTATTGTGTAATCTGATTTTTAGGAAATTGATGTTGAAGTGAGGAAGGAAATTGAGGACGCGGCCCAGTTCGCTACAGCTGATCCTGAACCACCTTTGGAAGAATTAGGATATCACATCTACTGCAGCGAGCCACCTTTTGAAGTTCGTGGTGCAAATCAGTGGATCAAGTTTAAGTCAATCAGTTAAAGGGGAGTCAATGTAAAGTTTTTACTCTATCTTCAATGGGATAGTTGTCATTAACTTTAAGCCACTGTTTTAAGGAGGAATAAAATCCATAAAGCAAGTCATGTATTAAGACTAAATACTCCTCCATAGGATAAAGGGATATTATTTGCATGCAATTTGTATATCAAAACATTTAACGATGTTAATAAGGTCTTAACTATTCATTGTGAATGTTGTAAAGATTTGATTTTAGACTTGTGTACCTGTGTAGGTCCAACATAGGAAACCTGGCTGCTAACTGACTGAAAGGCACTCTTATTAAAGGGTCACAATTGACAAAGCTTTTAGTCCCTTTACTAAATTACTTATCCTAACATAACTCTCACTCAGTTGTATACAATTCTAGGAAATATTCTACTTAAAAAATAATTCTTTGTATGCCTGCTCTAACCATGCTACCTTTATGGGGAAAGGATTAAATTACTCGGAAGTATCAGTGCTTGGCAGACTTCTAACACACTCAGCAGCCTCCCCCAGGCGAAAACTTGGACATTAATGTATAATCGAAAACAGATCTGCCTTTTTGTTACTTAAAATGGAAACAAAAGGAGCTTCTAAAAGTTCATGTAAAATTTCACATTTTTTAAGCTCCTTCATACAAGCTCTACTCAATTTAAATAAGGGGGACAGTCTTTAAAACATCACCTAAGTTGTTTTAGGTGCAGACATCTGGCTTACCTGAACGTGATCACACCTACTGCATGGTTTTGGAGGGCTCCTGAGCCTTGGCTCTATACTGGCTGATGGCATTCCAAAGCCTGCAGAGCAGCCCACCACTAGGAAGCAAAGAACACCAGCCCCTCTATTGTTGTTGTTGTTGTTAAGTGCCGTCGAGTCGGTTCCGACCCATAGCGACCCTGTACAGGGTTTCCAAGGGTGTAAATCTTTATGGGAGTAGAAAGCCTCATCTTTCTCCCGCGGAGCAGCTGGTAGTTTCCAACCGCTGACCTTAAGGTTCGCAGCCCGATTCGTAGCCACTACGCTACCAGAGCTCCTCTAATTCAAAGCAACAAGACAAGTTCTTCTCCTCTCCTTAGGAGCCCTTAGGTTTAGTTCGAAATGTGTTTTAATGATTTTGTTAAGGCTAAATACCAAATCTATTCTGCTCTCTTTACATGTGGAGGTGACACTTGTACCCCAGCAGTAGTGGGACATGAGCTTAGCTGAAAATCATGGGAGGAGGCAGGAGTGGGCAGGACAAGGATTTGGGCCAGTGCTCCTGGCAGCTCTTTCCTTTCTCAGCCCACTCCCAGCCAGCCAGAACTGGAGGGAGCACTTTTTCTCCTGCCCTTCCCTACCTGCTTACCTCTGCTTTTCCCCAAGTTGAACCTGGCAAAACTCCTGAGTTTGGAAGGAGGCTGGGTTGTGAATTTTGTTTTCTGACTAAGCCAGAGGAAGGAGAAAGTTTTTCCACAAAGTCTCATATTTTTAAAATCATAGTCCTGCACAGAAATAATTTTCTGTTACAAGAACTGTTTTGAGGTGATTCTTACCGGAGTCTAAGGCATCCTAGATCTTTAGTGGTATCATTAAAAAATTTTCAGAAAGTGTGTCTCCTTCTTTAGCAATCTGAAAGAAAGATTTGACAGAAAGCACTAAGAAGCTTTTTAATAGCAGCACATAAAGCACATGAATAGCTGAGGGTTACTTACTGAGTTACCTTTTTAATTGTCTCAGCATTGGCACCCTGCAGTTTCGAGCAGTCCGTGAGCTGTCGGTTTGTAGTCTGGCCCAGGAACCCATGATGGGGTACTGGATTCTCTGCCATCCCTTTAATAAGTAGAAATATATTATTGTATATTAATGTACAACAGTAAATTGCTTTCAAAGTAACCAGTTGGATATAATAAACTCTTCAAAAATGTATGGTAATATGACAAGGAAATGAAATTAAGTTGCTCTAATACGTATTAAACAGTAACTCATAAAGATTCTTTTTCTCTCTGGAAACAGAATCCAGTTATTTGTGTTGCCTTCATTTACTATGGAATTTGACATCCTTTCTGCTACTACCTTCTATGCTTATTTTTATTCCTCTGCCTTTAAAGGTCTTTAGGAATCATACCCCTAGCTGCATTGAAAATCAGTTGAGGAAACAGGCTTTCATATATTGTGATTTTGCTTCAGAACTTATTCATTCATTCATTCCATATTCCCAGAGTTCCATAGATCTCTTTCTCAAGTGGCACACACAACGTGTAAACTCTGGTTTACTTGCCATGGATTTTTACATGCATACAATAACCAACACACAATCAAGATACCGAAATTTACACCAAAGAGTATCCTTGTGCTTGTTTATAATCAATCCCTTTTCCTCAACTCCAGCCATTCTAAGGTTTCTAACATTTATTTTCTGTCCTCCCAGAGTTTTACCTTTCTCACAATATTGTAGAAGTGGACTGTCATATCTAGCCTTTTGAATCTGGCTTCTTTCACATAGCATAACCCGTTGGCTGTTCGCCCATGTGGGTGAGCTCAGTTGCTAGCCAAAAGATTGCTGGCAGGTTGAGCCCGCCTAACAGCTCTATGGGAGAAAGATCAGGCCATCAGCACCCATCAAGATTTCAGCCCAAGAAACCCTGTGGGGGCAGTTCTGCTATGATTGGGTTGCTATGAGTTTAAATGAATTCATGGCACACAATCTGCAACCTACAATTCAAGTTTAATAGAGCATTTTTGTTAAGTGCCATTGAGTCAGTTACAACTCACAGTGACCCTATCTAGGGTTTCTAAGGAGCGGCTTGAACTGCCGACCTTGCAGTCCAGTGCTGGTCCACAATCTGACCACAGTATTTTTATTAGCCCCAGGTATCATGAAACCATGTCTTACATAGACACAAATCAGATCCAGTAGAAAATGACTCACCATTAGATCTAACATAGAACTGAAGCTGAGACAGCTCTTGAGCTTTTCGTTCTAGAGTTTGCCGTAGGAGACTCTGGTATTCTCTCTCTCTCTGAATCAGGTGTTCTAAAAGTCTTAAAAAAAAAAAAAAAAGCCATCACCCAGAGAGTTCAATGAATCAATTGTTAGACCTCTCAGTTAATATTTGCTGAATGTCAGACTTTAAAAATAGTACCGGATCACCAGCCCTCTAGTGAGGGAAACAAAATGGTCTTTTCTGAAAGTTCTATGATTCAGGCAGGTTTCATGCAGTCTGTATGTGGGAACTTTCCTTGTGTTTTTCCTCCACTAGGAAACAAAGACCAGCCCTCAGAGAGTGGGGTAATTCTTCTCAAAATGTATCAGAAACCTAAAGTAAACTTGATGTTGATCGATAGAATTCTGTTAAATGTCTCCTTAGTTTTTTTTTTTTTTTTTTTTTTCAGGGAGACAAGTCATTAGCCTAAGAGTCACGCTAGCTGGGCTGCTCCCATCAGTGTGGTCACAGACACACCCAGCCTTGTTCACAGTTCTCCCTGGGACAAGAAAGGCAGAGATTGGCATAACTGAGCCTCAGGAACTTTCAATTCACCTCCTATGCCAGGGGGAGGGGCTTGCAGATTAGAGCCATTTGCAAGCCTTTCTTGTTTCTGCCTGCTTGTGAGATCTGGGATTCCGGTAGCTGTAGGATCCCACTTTTCATTAGTTCTATGATCCAGGATGGTAGACTAGGGAACACAGGACTCAGCTTTACATTACTGAAATTGCCCTCCAAAGTCACTCCAATGGGGTAACAACCTGACAAAATAGGGAGCAAATGTGCTGGGCAATATGGGGGCAAAACCAGGTGTGCTAGAATACTTCTGCCCCAGAGAGTAGCACAGAAAAAATGCTGGGGTCATTCAACCACAGCCAACCTTGGCCTTTTCTCAAGTCAACAAGTCCTCCTCAAGCCCAACCAGATCTAAGAGCAGGTTTGGTAACCAGGAGGAAGGGGCCTGTGAGAGACCACGGACTAGATACCCCCACCATTCAGTGTCAGGTCTGCCCAGCCCTCATGTAGGTAGTGCCGGTGGGTGCCTCAGTGGGATGAGGACAGGCATGCCTGTGAACTACATACTACCAGGTGGCATTAATGTGCTGGTGGATACTTCACTGATGGTGAATTCTGCGACAGCATGCCTTAACTGTGGAGAGGACTCAACTGTGAACCCATAGATAGCATTTTATGAATTTGGAGATTGCAAACTTTACTAAAAAGTGTTTTTAAAGAGATGCTATGTGTTACTACCAACTTTCATACTTTTCACATTATAAAACTTAGAATTATAATTAAATAGTATTGGCAAAATTTAAGACCTTTAAAAGAGTGATTTGATCTGCCAGACAGTAACATTTTAGAGATCCTTGGGGTTATATATCATTCTCCGCCCTCCTGCTGCCAAATATGTATTCCTGGCATCTCTAATCTACCCCTGATAAATATTCATCAGCATCACCAGTGACTATAGCTACAAAGCAGCAGTTGGAGCAGGTATCAACTAGCTTGATGTGGCTGTGAGTTGCAAATATTTAAAAGTCCACTGATACTGTGATTCCCCCAGAGCAAATGAGAATCACTTCATTCAGTTCAGAAAGATTTAGGGAGCACCTACTATGTGCCAGAAAGTGGGGGGGCGGTCACTAAGGAGTGCAGGCTCTTATTGGGAGGTTGTCCACTATTGCCTGTTGAGGGAGCATGAAAACTCTAAGGAGTGCAGGCTCTTATTGGGAGG